CCAGGGTGCCTTTGCAGTTCCCAAACCTGCTCCTGCCAGGCTACGGGGAGCCTGGGACGGGGACAGCCTAAGGGGCCAGGGGACCTGAACAATGTGATTTAGTGGGTGACATCCCCATTTTGGATTGAGATGAGCTTTAAGGCCACTTCCGACCCAAACCATGCTGTGATTCCATGACTCTGTGACCCCACACCTTGTGTACAGCTCTACTCACTCCTTCCTTATATCCAGGAGCAGGGATTTGAGTATTTTGGGACTGAGAGTGCCAGGGGATAGGAGGGAGGCCACCACAGCCCAGACCACTGGCATGGGCACAGTGCTGGGAACAGCAGGAGCCGCCCCTTGGGGGTGGCTCCCGACCTGGGGAAGCTGTTGGAGCATCCCATGGGTTTCCAACAGCCTGGGAGTGCCAGGGAAGCTCCTCTCCAGTCTGAATCCCAGGATCAGCTCAAACACTGAGCACCAAAGCTCCATCAGCCCCCAGAGTTTCATTTTGGGGCTCTGCTGCTTCTTCTTAAGGAGATCTCTGATGCTGCAGAGGATGGGTGGGGACTGGAGAAACCTTCCTGAGCCCTGGAGCAGGGGATTGATTAATCAGTGCTTGAATAATTGCAGGGCACTGCAGACATTCTGCTCCCTGTGGAGGGAAGGGATGAGGTGGAGGATCAGGCCAGGCAGGTCACTCACCCCAGCCTCTCCTCGCCTCAGCCTCAGAGCTGCTCCCAGGATTAAATGGTTTCTTTTTAAAAGTGAGATCTAATCTGGTGACAAAAGCTGCAGCAGTGCTGTGAGCCCATCATCTCCCCAAGAAAAGCTCCTCCAGCCTTCAAATGCTCTCACCACTTGGATGCTGGATTTCAATCCAAGGCTGAATTTGCCTCTCTTCAGCTCCAGCTCTGCTCTTGTTACTCCTTGCTGTGGGATTTAAGGTTCCCTGTTCAGTTTTCCACGTGGGAGGACACAGGCCAGGTGCTCAGATCACCTGATGACAGAGTTTTAACAGCATCACACCCCTAGGCCTGGCTTTTCCAGCCTGTGGTCGGGTCTGTGGTGCTCCTTCCAGCTCTCTGGTGTTCCCCTGACGTTCCCGAGTGTGGGTGCCAGACAAAGAGCTCCAGCAGGGCGCTGTTCACTGATTTGCAGCCCCCACACACCAGTACACAATGATCCCTAATTACTCTTTCACAGACAAATTTGCATCGCTGGACCAGGCAGATATTCCTGGGAGGACTTAAAGCTGGCTTGGTTGCTGGTTAAAAGCCAGGGTTCATCTCCCCAGCCTGTATGGGCATGTCCAGAGTCACTGCTTTCCAAGATCCAGCCTGAGGGCTTCAAATGCAAGCTTCAGTCCCAGATATATTCCGGATATCTGCAGTCAAACACCCCCTGACCATTTAACTAGCTGAAAACATCCTCTTCCCTTTCTGTCTCATCACTCTGGGTGTCATTTTCTAGCTTTCCCAGCAAAGATTTCATCTCTTCATCTCCATCATTGATAAAAATGTTTCATAGCAGAGGACGAAGCACGGGGCCCCGGGGGAGGGAGGTGGGAATAATGCTCCTTTCTGCTCTCTCCCCATTAGCAGCCCCCTCGGAGATCTGCCAGGGAAGCAGTTTGAATCCATCTCATCTGTGCCCTGTTAATTCCTTCTAATGCAAGTTTTAATCAAAATGTCAGGTGGAAGGAAGTCAAATGCCTCGGAGAGATCCGAGTGTGCTCTATCAACACAAGTGCCTCTCTCCCCCAGCCCGGTGATCCTGTCACACGCAGACAACAGGTCTGGGTGACAGCCCTGCTGGCCCTGCCACCAACGCTGCCTGCAGCTCCCGAGTCTGGGGACATCACATCACCAGGTGGGACGTGTCCCAGGGATCCACGTGTGGATGGAAACCCATGGGACACCAGCATCCCCCCCTAAGCAATGCCCTCACCATCTTCTCCAAGCCTAGACCCACATTTTCCCCTCATTATGGAGGGAATGCTGCTCCCTGGGGAAGGGGAGGAGCTTTCTGTGATGCTCAGCCCCAATGTCCATCCCAGGAGGAGCTTCCAGCATGACAATGGTGGAAACCATGTGGCCCTGAGGGACAGGGGACAGTGATCCCTGAGGAAAGGTCCCTGAGGAAGGGGATGAGCTTTCAAGCCTGGATGAGGAGATTGGAGATGCTCAGCCCCCAGTGTCCATCCCAGAAGGAGCTCCGAGTGTGGCAATGGTGGAGCTCATGTGGCCTTGAGGGACAAGGGACAGTGGCCTTGAGGATGGAGAAGAGCTTTCAAGGCCGGATGAGTAGGTTGGAGATGCTCAGCCCCAATGTCCATCCCAGGAGAAGCTCCCAAATCCTGTGCCCTGGGATGTGGGGTGGGCCAAGCACTGTGGGAGACTGGGGCTCAGGGGCTTCCCCAGCTTGCAGGATCTTTCATCCTCCGTCACCACAAAGCCAGGCCAGATCTGCATTTGCAGCGGCCCACAGAAGCTGCCTCTGTTGTCTTATTTTTGTTATTTTTGAGAGGATATTTTAGCGCTGAGCACATTCCCTCCTGTTGCCATGGCAGCCGTGACAGGGGTTATATACCGTGAGAAAAATACCAAAATTAATGAGTGAGTGAAAGAGCAGCCAAGAGAAAAACAAGGTTAAAAAAAGAGTTAAAACAGTAATAAAAACAATCTCCCAATAATTTGGCAGCGAGCATCCCACAGGCAAGACAGGCAGTTAACATGGGAGCCCTGTGGCTCCTCGGTGGATCCCAGCTGGGGCTGGCTGCCCACAGCCCGTGGCCAGAGCATCACCACAGTCCAAGGGACGTGCTGGATCCCAGCCCCTGGTGGGAGCATCACAACAGTCCCAGGGACACTCTGGATCCCAGCCCCTGGCCGGAGCATCGCCGCGGTCCCAGGGACACTCTGGATCCCAGCCCCTGGCCGGAGCATCGCCGCGGTCCCAGGGACACTCTGGATCCCAGCCCCTGGCCGGAGCATCGCAATGGTCCCAGGGACACTCTGGATCCCAGCCCCTGGCCGGAGCATCGCCGCGGTCCCAGGGACACTCTGGATCCCAGCCCCTGGCCGGAGCATCGCCGCGGTCCCAGGGACGCGCTGCTCCCACACCATCCCACTGACGCTCCGGATGGGGCTGCGCCCACCCAGCTCCTTCCCCCACAAACCTGCAGCCCTCGGTGACGCAGGAGGCGAGCGGAGGAGAAGTTCTTTAATGTGCTCATTTCCTCGCATTTGGGTTTTGAGGATCTTTTTGTTTTTAATTGTAGAAACAAGCGGATTGTCAGAACATCTGTGTTATTAGCATTTGCTGCCCAAATCCGAGCTGCTGCTTCTCCTGCGGAGCCCAGAGCTGATGAGAGAGAGAACAGAGGAGCCTTTGAACTCCTTGCAGCAGACGGCAGCCAGGTTGCTGCGTGTGTGTGTTGGGGAGGGGGTATTTATTCTCTTGTAAGGTTCATTTGCTCTCCGTGTTTCCCTTTCTTCTCGCTTTCCCAGAGATTTAGCTGGATGCTCTTCCCTCTCAGGCTTTGTTCTTCTGACAAGGCCCCACTGGCACCACGAAGCAGCTGCCTCTGTGTGATGCCAGGGCAGCCCAGCATGGGGAACCGGGAGCAGCCCCGCACGGGGGACCTGGAGCTCGGGGCAAGTCAGAGCCTCCAGCAGCAGCTTGGGGGACGGTGGTACTGCCAGCCCTGCAGGGGCTCATGGAATAACTCTGCAGACAGAGCTGCAGCCTGAGGGCTTCTTGTTGCTCAGACTGGCTCTGCTTTCTGGGAACGGTGAAGAAAAGGTGAGGATGGGTGACTCATCTGGAGCTGGTACGTATACAGGATGGAATTCTTCCCTCTTAGTGTGGTGAGACACAGGTTGCTCAGAGAAGCTGTGGATGCTCCATCCCTGGAAGTGTTTACGGCAAGGTTGGATGGGGCTTGGAGCACCCTGGGATAGTGCAAGGTGTCCCTGCCAGACATGGGTGGAATAAGATGGTCTTTGAGGTCCTTTCCAACCCAAACCATTCTGGGATTCTACAATAATGCCCAGGAGAAGGAAGTACAGGGAAAGGCAAGCTTCCTGTGTTGTCAGAGGGCAAGGAGCACTCTGGGAGGGGCTTTCAAAGGCAGTGGCGTGGAGGAGGAAGGCAGAGATGGATAAGGCAGCCCTGGGATGCCAGGCCAACAGGGACTTGGACATTGTGTCTCCCCAGCTCACCAGGCCACGGGCGCTGCTGGCACTGCGGAGGGCTCTGCCAGGCTGCTCCCCTGGGCTGCACAGAGGTGGTTCCTGATGCCAGGACACTTTTCCCCTGCATTCCTAGAGTCTGGACCTGTCCCTCAGAAACATGTGTGAGCAGAGGCTGAGGTGACAGTCACGGGTGCCCCACAAATCAGTGGCATCCAGTGATCCATGTACATGCCCAGCTCCTCGGCACTCCCTGTGCCACTGTCGATCGACTCGCTGACTGCCCCGTGACTCTTGTGAAATGCAAACCTTTGGTCCCCAGCAATCTCTAAAGTTTGCTGTCCCTGCTCCACAGGCAGCCTCAGATCCACGAGGTCACTCCCTCTGTTTCTCCCTTCGCTCCAGCTCTCCGTCCCTCCAAGGAGGGCTGCCAGTTACTGATCCATCAAATCTGCCCTTGTCTCTGGAGAATTTTGTTCCCTCTCCCTGCCCAGCTCATGCTGGATCAGCAGGGCACAGCCTGACAAACCCCACAGCTCCTCTCCCTGCCCCAAAGGTGGGCTGTGACCTTCCCTGGCTTCTCAATTCACATCTTCTGCTAAATTGGCTTCATGTGAATTGACACTCGGAAAAAAAGCCTCGCACACAGACGCGGAGGAGCCGACATCTCTGGAGGAGCAGAAAGTCTGGGAGGAGAGCTGTGCTTCTCCTGAGGGATGACTCGCCAGCCCCCTTTTCCTGCCTAGCGGGATGCAGCCCTGCCACGGCCTGCACTCGCTTGTTGCCGGGGAAAAGTGAGGAGATTTGGGAGAAAAGCACGGCAATTTTGGGGGGAAAACGGGGCGATTTGAGGGGTGAAATAGAGCCGGGCTGCTCCGAGCAGGCAGGCGCAGCCTCTAGATGGTGCAGTCATGCAGCCGAGCTGAGCATGTGTGCAGCGAAGGGCGCTGCGCAACAGGTTGGCGTAGCTCAGCGGGGAGACGCGCTCCCATCCTCGCTGCGGCGGAGCGGAAAGGACTTTCCAGCATCCTGGCGAGAAATCCGCGCCGCAACCGGCCCGGAAGGCGGGTGAGGGGCAGCGCGACCCTCGGAGGGTGCTGAGGGTTTTGGCAGGGTCGGGCTGCAGCTCCAGCCCCTGGCACGGAGCGCGGCCGCTCCTTGCAGGAGCACGGAGGCGGCGGTGGCAGCAAGGGAAGGGGCAGCCCTAGAACACGCTGTCCCCAGGCCCCCGGGGACTTCGCTTGGCCAGCCGAGGTGCCGGGGTGAGAAGCCAGCTGAGGGAGAACAGCTTGTGAAAGCTTCACAAGGGCGCTGGGAGCTCGCGGGTGCTTTTGGGAGTCGCAGGTGCTCCGTGCCTGCTGCGCCCCGACACCCCGCAATAAATAAAGCCGTGATTCACCGAGGTGTGACGGCAGGGCACGGCGGCTACTCCAGCCCCACCGCTGCAGCCAGCAGGGCAGCTCTGCAGCCTGCCCGCAGCCCTGCTGGGCTGGGGGGCCGGGGAGGGGCGGGCACAGCCCCCGCTCAGCTCGGTCGCACGGAGGGACCCTCCCGGCTGCGCTGGCCCGGGTCCCTGGCCCTGTGCAGCGGGGTTGTGGGGCTGTGAAGCGCCGGCTGGAAGAATAAATGAGCGAATTAATTACTAAGAGCACCGAGAGGGGAGTGAGAAGGGAGACCCCAGCCGCACGTGTGCGGGCGCGGAGCGGAGGGGTCCCCGGGGTGAGGGGCTCCGGGGGGCCGCGGGGAGCCCCGTTCTCCACGGGCACGGCGCTGGGCGCGGTGCCGGCAGCCCGGAGCCGGGCGGCTCTGCCCGGCAGCCGCTGCCCGCTCGTCCCGGCAGCCCGGCCGCGCTCGGGATCTGATAAGGAGCCGGAGCTCCACCTCCCCATGGTGGTGTCGGCGAGAGGCGGAGGCAGCGGCGGGCGGGGGGGGGAAGGGGCCGTGCCTGCGCTGCGCTTCCCCTGCACATCCTCACACACACCGAGGGACGGAGGCGGGCACGGACCGAGCTGCCCACCGGGGCTGCCTCCAGCCTGAGCCGCCGCTTCGCCGGAGGAGCCGCAGCCCCGGCACGGGGAGGGGGGCGGTTCCCACGGGACATTTATATTTTTTTTGCCCCCCCTCCCCTTTTTTTTTCTTTTTTCTTTTTTTTTTTTTTTTTTTTTTTTTTTTTTTTTTTTTTCCCCCATATTTTTTTTCCATTTGTTTTTCATCCGTGGATAACGCTCGAGAGGAGGCGGGGGGGTGGGGGGAGCGCGGTCCCGGCGGGAAGGAGGCGATGGAGCCGCCGCGGGACCAGCGCGCAGGGACTCGGCACGGAGCGCAGCGCCGACACCATCCAAGTAAGAGCTGCGGCGGGGCCGGGACCCCCGCCCGCTGCCAGGCAGAGCCGCGGGGGGGTGCGGGATGCCCCGCGCCGGAGCTCGGCGCTGTGCGGGAGCGCGGGGCCGGGCGGCGGCGGGAGCGGCGCTGGCGAGCATTCCGCTCAGAGCATCCCGCATCCCTCCGCTCCGGTCCGCGCCGGGCTGCGCGGGGCTCCGCGGCCGGCGGGGCGGCTCCCGCTTGTCCCCGGTCCCGCCCGGCGCTGCCACTTGTTGTGCGGCGCGGAACGGAGCGGAGCGCGGCCAGCCCCGCACAGCGCGGCGCAGCGCAGGGCGGGCGGTGGTTGCGGGAGGGAGGCTGTGGCGGGGGGTGCGCGTGTTTCGGGGTGTTTATTTTTCCGCGTGGGGGTGGCTCTGGGTGTGTGTCCCTCGTCCAGCACTGGGTGTGTGCGCCCACGGGTTGCGCGGCTGCGTGGGAACCGCAGAAGTTGCGGGTGAACCGGGAGCCGGCTGGGAGCGGGGCTGTGGGTGAGCGGCGGGGAGCGAGGGACTGGCAGGGGCGCACGCCGGGGCCGTGGAAGGGTGTCCGCGTGGGGTGCGAGTGACACCGGGGTGCGGGGACGCGAGTGGGCTTCGCGTGTCGGTGTGCGGAGCTGTGTGTGTGACGGGTGTGCGTGCGGTGAGTGTGTCAGCGGGCTCTGAGTGTGTCAGCCAGCTCCGAGTGTGTCAGCGGGCTCCGAGTGTGTCAGCGGGCTCTGAGTGTGTCAGCCAGCTCCGAGTGTGTCAGCGGGCTCCGAGTGTGTCAGCGGGCTCTGAGTGTGTCAGCCAGCTCCGAGTGTGTCAGCGGGCTCCGAGTGTGTCAGCGGGCTCTGAGTGTGTCAGCCAGCTCCGAGTGTGTCAGCGGGCTCCGAGTGTGTCAGCGGGCTCTGAGTGGGTCAGCGGGCTGTGCGTGCCCCGCCGCGGAGGATCCCTGTTTCCCGGTACGCGAGGCTGAGCGCGAAGCCGGTGCCGGCAAAGCGGCTCCCGTGGTTTTGTCACGGGTGTCTGAGTGCGTGTGTCCGTGTGTCCGTGTGTCTCTGTGCGTGTCTCTGTGCGTGTGCGCGGGGCTGGCGGAGGCGCCTGGAGCTCCGCTCCCCTCCGTGCCCACAGCCGGAGCCGGCGGCTGCCGGAGCCTCAGCCCGGGCAGCGCCGCGGGGACCGGGGAGCCTCGGCCGCGGCGGCCGGCAGCGGAGCCCGGCCTCCATCCTCCCTCCCAGCCGCCGCAGCCGGCAGCAGCGGCTCCCGCGGCGCGCTGCGAGGCCGGGGGGGACCCTTTCCCCCTTCCCCAAGGTCCCCAAATCCTCCCGGCTGCATCCCCGGAGCAGAGCCGCTCCCGCTGTGCCCGGCTCCCAGCGGCCCTGCCGGGGTGTTTCAGGCCCGCGACATTTTTGTCTTCTCCCAGGGCCCCTCTCCAGCCGGGGTGGAGGGTGGGATGGTTGCGGCAGGGGACAGGAGCCCGGAGTGGCTGTGGGGCACCCACGGCTGGAAGGATGGGGGTGCCACTCCAGGGAGGCTCTGACAGGTCTCTGCCTCGCTGGCTGCCGGACTTGGAAGGGATGTGGAGAAGGCAGCAAGAGGAGGGAGGGCCCTGGGCTTTGCCGGCTTTTCATCACTGCCCAGCTCCTCAGGGATGATTTTGGGGTGATCATCTTGCCAGGCCAGTGGGGTTCCTCCTCGCGGGGTGCTCTGGCTCCCTGCTCTCGGGCCCAGCCTGCAGAAACGCCGAGCAGCCGCAGTGGCAGCCGGAGCTGGAGCAAATCCTGGGACGTGCAACGGAATACCCAGGATTCAGCCCATCCGTGCCTTCGGCGCAGGACTGACCATCAGCGGCCGTTTTCCCGGCTAGCACGATCCCTGATCTCCGCGTGGAGCTGGGATGAGCCGTTTGCTGCTTACTGGGATGTCGCTCCAGCTCCGGGTGTCGGAGCAGGGCTGGGGGAGCGTGGAGAGGGGATTAGCACTTGTGTGCTCAGTGCAGGGTTTGGACAGACTTGTGAGCCGTGGCTCCGAGCCACGCAATCAGCCGCTGGAAGTGAGGAGAGGCCGGACTTTGGTGCCCATTCCCGAAGCGGTGCTGCCTCCCGTGGAACAGGGCCAGCGGACTGTGGGAATCACAGGGAGCACAGGCTTGTTCAAGCAGTTGCTTAAATTCGCGGTGCTTTATAACCTCTCTCTCATTAAGGCTTGTTTTTTTTTTTTTGGTGGGGATGGCTGAATTCTGTCGGATTTTGCATGCCACTGTCCTCTGAGAGCTTCCCAGTCATGCATTAAGCAGCGTGACTAACGCCTCTCTCATGTGGTTCAGTCTTTCTCACACACTCCCCGTAGGGAGAATTGTGTGTGCGGAGGAATAGTTGTTTTGGGAGGGGCTTTTATTTTTAAGTGCTCTGTGCTTTGCCAGCAGGTTGGAAAAAGGTGCCTGGCACTAGAGAAGAAAGTGTGGGATGGTCCTTAGATCCCATGGGAAAATAGCCTGGTGCCTTGGACTGGCCCCTGGGAAGCCTGTGTCTCCTGCACAGACGTGCTTGTGAAGGCTTCCTCCTCCTCCTCCTCCTCCTCCTCCTCCTCCTCACGCCCAGCTCTGGGCTCTCGTGTCTTCACCGTGTCATTCACAGCCCTGGGTGCCGAGCAGGATTCCTGACCCTACTGATTCCTTATCCTGCCAAGCCCAGGGCCCCTCGTGCCTTCCAGCACTGTCCCTCAGGTTCTCAGGCCCTCTCCTCCTTGCACCTCCCTGCTCTGCAGGGTGCCTTCCTTCACCTGCAGGAATGGGGCTTGGGCTCAGATTCCAGCCCTGGTTTTGGGGCAATCCTGGGTAATCCTGGGTGCTGGGCACCTTTGGGTAACACCCTTCCTCCTCCTGGCTGGCACAGAGCTCCTGGTGTTTCCAGCTTCTGGGCCCTCCCTCCCAGATCCCTCAGCCATGTGAGGCATCAGCACTGCCTTGAGACTTTCCCTGCGATCTTTCACCTCGCACCAGGACTTAGTCAGGACGTGGCTACGTCACCAGCAGGCAGGCCCAGCCCCGTGCAAACAGCCCAGCGGCGGGCATGGTGCCTCTCCCAGCCCGGGCATCCTCCAGGAGCCCTTTCCCAACAGCTGGAGCTGCCCATCTTCCCTGTCCTCACTCATGGCCATCCCCAACGGGAGCGCAGGGCTGGCAGACCTCGGGGCAGGCTCACCCTGTGGAGGCAGCTGGGTGAGGCGGGTCTGGTGTGAGCGCACCGGGGGGGTGGCAGACACGAGCATGACCCAGGTGCCGGTGCCCCCGCATGGGTGACATCACACACATCCACAGGCAGCGGTGCCAGGGGCATGCGCACACGCGGGCACACGCGTTGTGTGCGGCGCACACACGTGCAGGAGCGCGAGCTCACACCTGGGGCACGGGCCCAGAGCGGGCAGGGATGTGCTCCTTGCCCCGAGTGACACAGCTGCACACCCTGCCAGGGCACAGGTGTGATTGTTTGCCTTTATCTATGCACACACAGCTGTGCTCCAGGCAGGTGGACACCTCTGGAATGCTCACAGTGCACACCCAGCACAGACACACACACGTGTTTGCACACACTGCCTGTGCTGATGCAAAAATCTGTGTTTCTACTTGGCTCCTGACCTCCTCCATCCTCAGCCCAGTCCAGGGATGGAAGATGTCCTGCTCTCTCTCCTCATTCCTTCCTCCTGGAGTCACACATCGTAGTGCTGGTGGGGGCAGCTCTGCACGGCCTCAGCCAGCTGGGGATAGCTCTGCTCTGTACAAAGGAAGGGGCAGGACAAGGGAGCAGAGGCAAGCTTGGCTTCAGGGCCACCATCTCCTCTCCAGGCATGGAGGTGTATTTTCACTGCAGAGGCAGGGCTCATCTCGTCCATGTCCCCATGTCCATGGGGAAGCAGAGGGGTGGAGGGGTGGAGGAGCTGTTGGCTTGTGGGAAGTACCAAGGAGGACAGTGCAGGATGTTCCACTTGCTAACAATCCGTGCCATGACAGGCTAACCAGGAACTGGGCACTTGCAGCGTGGCACCACAGAGCGGGATGGTGATGGAGCGCTTGCCCATTGAGCGTTTGTTTGTCCTTGGTCGCAGAGTGTGGAGAGAGGGAGTGATGGGAGCAGTGAGAGCAGGGTAATGTTGTGGGGCTTTGGCAGATGTTTGTGGCTGTTAATTTTAGGGCACCAGGTCCCTGTGTTTTTGGATGCCAGTGAGCTGCATTGAACCACTTTATGCTCACAGCTCAGTAGAAGCTCCTGGACCCTGGAGGAGGAAAATGTGTTCCCAGAATGGAACAGGAAAGCTGGTGGTCAAGCACAGCACCAGACAGGGGGGGCTTGGTGGCAGGGCATGTGGCTTGTCACAGGAGGGGACAGTCTGTGGGGCTGGCATGGCCTAGGCAGTGTGTGAGCACAGGGACGAGCTGGCAGTGGCGGGGGCAGCGGTGCAGGGGTGCAACAGTGCAGGGGTGTCTCTGCAATGCAGGGGAGCAGTGCTCCCGGCACTGCCACTGCAGCAGAGGAGTGGGCACCGGCACGGAGTGGGCACCCAGTGCGTGCCATGTCCCAGACTGGAGTGGGAGGGAATGGGAAGGAACAGTGTGTCTGCAGCGAGGAAGGGAACAGGAGCTGCTGGCGCAGGGTGTGGGGTTGCCTAGTGACTGTGCAGCGAGGGGGATGCTGTGCTGCCATTGCAGTGCGCTGGGGCTGGGCACTGCTGGGGCTGCCTGGGGTTTCCTGCACTGCAGCACAGCCTGGGCAGGGACCCGGTGTCCTCTGACTGCGGGGGCGCCGGGGGTGGCAGTGCTCCACAGGCAGGGCAGGAGGGATGATGCTCAGGGCCCCTGCATCCCTGCAGTGCCGGGTGGGTGGTGCCTCTGTACCTGGCAGTGCAAGGCTGGCAGTGCCATTGTGCTGGCAGTGCAGCAAGGGCAGTGCTGCTCTGTTCCTGCCACAGCAGTGCCCTGTGTCCCTGAAGTGCTGGAGGGGTGGCAGCCCTGCGTCTCCAAAGCGCCCCATGGCCCTGCAGTGCCTTGCAGCCCTGCAGTGCTGGACAGGCGGCATCCCTGAAGCACCTCGTGTTCCTGCAGTGCTGGATGGGTGGCAGTCCTGCATTCCTGCAGTGTCTGGTGTCCCCAAAGTGATGGCTGCTGCTGTTCCTGCAGTACAGGCAGTGATGGATGGGAGGGAGCTGTATGCTGGCAGTGCACCGTGTCCCTGCAGTGCTGGGTGCATGGCAGCCCTGCATCCCTGCAGCGATCCATGGCCCTCCATCTCTGCATGGGTGGCAGCCCTGCATCCCTGCAGTGCCCTGTGTCCCTGGGTGGGTGTCAGTCCTCTATCCTTTCAATGTCCCATGTCCCTGCAGTGACGGATGGGCATCAGCCCCACATCCCCGCAGTGCTGGAGGGGTGTCAGCCCCACATCCTTGCAGGACCGGATGGGTGTCCGTCCCATATTCCCGCAAAGCAGGCAGAACTCCCCATTTGGTGCTCCCATTTCTGCAGTGCTGGCAGCTGCATGCAGTGCCCGTGTGTCCCTGCCGTGCGTGGCAGGCAGTGCCCCTGCACTGGTGGCACACAATGCTCCTGTGTTTGGGTGGTGAGAAGCTGTCTCAGAGTCTGGCCGGCTCCCATCGGGTTGTTGGCAGCAGGCTGCCTGCAGTCCACCCTGTTAGTGTGCCTCGTTGGGTCTAATTACAGTTGGTGTGGTGACGAAGAGGGTGGACAGTGGCAGGAGTGGCTTCCTGCAAGTGGCAGGGCTGAGGTTTCAATGACAGGGTTACTCACTTCAGCAGGGCGTTGCAGGAACTTTGCAAGCTGGGACGGGTCTTTCAGGGCACTGGAGGCTGCCAGGAGCTGGCCCCAGCAGCCCCTTCCCTTTGGGAGCCGTGCCAGGACCATGTGCAGTCCCACATGGCGCAGTGGGGTAAGCCAGGGAAGTGGGCTGGTGGCTAACCTCCGGTGTCTGTGTCTCCTCCAGCTCCCCTGCAGCGCAGGATGAACCCGCTGGCGTCCTGCCTGGGCTTGTGGCTCCTCTGCCAGCTCCCCGCCCTGGCCTTGGGGACACGTGCGGTCTACAAAGTGCAGGAGGAACAACCCCCCAACAGCCTCATAGGGAGCCTGGCCTCCGACTACGGCTTACCGGACATGGGGCACCTCTACAAGCTGGAAGTGGGGGCCCCATACCTCCGTGTGGATGGCAAGACTGGGGACATCTACACCACAGAGACCTCCATTGACCGGGAGAGCCTGCGGGAGTGCCAGCACCTCCTGCCTGGAGAGCCCTGCTTCCTGGAGTTTGAGGTGTCCATCACTAACCTGAACGCCAACAGCAGCCCTCGCCTGCTCGAGGGGCAGATTGAGGTGCTCGATATCAATGACAACACCCCCAACTTCGCCTCGCCCGTCCTCACCCTCTCCATCCCTGAAAACACCAATGTTGGGACGCTCTTCCCCATTCCCCTGGCCATGGACCGGGACTCGGGCCCCAATGGCGTTGCCTCCTACGAGCTGATGGCTGGTCCGGAGGCGCAGGAGCTCTTTGGGCTGCAGGTGGCCGAGGACCAGGATGAGAAGCAGCCTCAGCTGATTGTCATGGGGAACCTGGACCGGGAGCAGTGGGACTCCTACGATCTGACCATCAAGGTTCAGGATGGGGGGAACCCACCTCGGGCAAGCAGTGCCCTGCTCCGCATCACCATCCTGGACATGAACGACAACGCACCCAAGTTCGAGAAGGCCCTGTATGAGGCAGAGCTCTCTGAAAACAGCCCTGTGGGGCACTCCGTCCTCCAGGTGAGTGCACATTTCCTCTCCTGCCTGGCTGCAGGGACAGCCACAGGAGCATCAACATGGCCATGGTTCCTCCAAGGAGGAGGGAGGGTTGGATGGAGGAGCTCGGAGTGTCACCCAGGGCCAGCAGGCAGGCAGGTCCCTGGGATAGCACACCTGCTCAAGCGAGGTTGGAGAGGATGTGCAGGAAGGCACAGCTGGAGTGGGGCTGCAGGACTGGGCTGAGGGGCAGCAGCAGAGCTCCAGGGAGCAGGATTCCGGGTTACTGGGAGGGTTGGGACCTGAGGGCCACTGGGAGCCTGGCCTGGGGCCAGCGCGGTCTCAGTGCTGCCCGCAGACAAGACATAGACCCTTTCATAAGTTGCATTCCCTTGGCGCCTCCATGGAAACTCAGGAGGTGGGGACAGGGAGCATCCCTGCTGCCTGTGCACAGGGCTGGCCACAGCTCTGGAGGTGCCCTGCTGTCTGCAGGGAGCGGGGGCTCTGCCTCATCTCAGGCAGCACTGCAAACTGGCCCGGAGAGCCCAGGGGGCTGGATCTTGGTGGATTTGGCTTGGAGGGGGCATTGAGATGATAGTAGTCGACATCTGTTTATCTGCAGCTGCCATCTTAATAAGCGGAGCGCGGCCAGCTCTCATCTGCCTGCTAATTCTGATGTGAATTTTTTAAGAATTCATTTTTCACTGTTAAGAGAATGGGAGTTGGAAGCAGATAAGGGAGCTGCATGGCCGGGAGGAGAATGGGCTGAGATGCCGCTGCTGCCATTGCTCAGCTTTTATCTTTCAGGGGGAAAATGACTTCCGCCTGTTTTGTGAGTGGAGGTAAAAGGTGGAATTTACATTTAACAACTTTCGTTCTCCATCCAAATCTGCTGAGCAAGATAACGGTGGAGCAGCAAATGGTGCAGAGAAGAGGCTGCTCAGAGAGCCGATTAGGGAGGCAAATGTTAGACAAACCTCATCTTCTTTAGAAAGCAAATAATAGGCGTAGAGGCAGGTTTATGGGGATGCAGGGCTCCTGGCGGGCGGACAGGGATGGACGGTGCTGTGCAGGGCTCAGGCAGCCCCAATCCCTGTGTGGCTGCATCCCCAGATGCTGCGATGGAGCTGCTGCAGCTCCACACATGGTTGCCTCCCTCCTTGCCCTCACCTGAGCCAGGCAGCTGCTCCAGCCCCTCCTTGGAGGCACAGCTGGAGCTGTCCCTCCCTGCTGCTGGCTGGGTCTCAGCGGCACGGTTCCATGGTTCCAGAGGATTCCCTGCGTGCCGGAGCCGGCTGGGAGGGGAGTGCAGCCAACCGGCCCAGCCGGTTTCTCCGGAAGAGCGAGGCAAAGCCTCCGTGCCTGAGGGTGGCTCCCAGCTGCTCTGCCGGTCCCAGGCTCTTTGCCCCACAGTCCTTGGCCCCAGAAGAGGAAATCCTGGTTTTTCCCCCTGGCTGTCCTCAGGGAAGGCCACGGCGGTTTGCGGAGAGGCTCACTCTGCCGTGCCCTTGTCCTGCTCACTGCTTGTCCCTGTGTCCCCTAGGTGAAAGCCAACGATTCGGACCAGGGCGCCAATGCTGAGATCGACTACTCCTTCCACCAGGCCTCGGACATGGTGCGGCGGTTGCTGCGCCTGGACCGCGCCACGGGGCTCATCACCGTGCAGGGCCCCATCGACCGCGAGGACATCGGCACCCTCAAGTTCTCCGTCATGGCCAAGGACAAGGGCGCCAACCCCAAGAGCGCCCGCACGCAGGTGGTGGTCACCATCAAGGACATGAATGATAACGCACCCTCCATAGAGATCCGGGGCATAGGCTTGGTCACCCACCAGGATGGCATGGCCAACATCTCGGAGGACGTGCCAGTAGAGACAGCAGTGGCTCTGGTGCAGGTGTCTGACCGAGATGAGGGTGAAAACGCTGTGGTGACCTGTGTGGTGGCCGGTGACGTCCCATTCCAGCTGCGCCAGGCCAGTGAGACAGGGAGTGACAGCAAGAAGAAATACTTCCTGCAGACCACCACGCCATTGGACTATGAGTCAGTGAAGGAGTACACGATTGAGATTGTGGCTGTGGACTCGGGGAACCCGCCCCTCTCCAGCACCAACTCCTTGAAGGTGCAGGTGATGGACGTCAATGACAACGCCCCTGTCTTCAGCCAGAGCTTCACTGAGGTGGCCTTCCCTGAGAACAATGAGCCCGATGAGCTGGTCATGGAGGTGAGTGCCACTGACGCTGACAGCGGCTCCAACGCCAAGCTGGTTTATTCCCTGGTGACAGACCCCTCCTCCAAGGGCTCTTTCACCATTGACCCTGACTCCGGGGAGATCCGGGTGAAGGCGGTGCTGGACCGAGAGCAGAGGGAACGCTACGAGTTCTTGGTGGTGGCGGAAGATAAGGGCAGCCCCAGCAAGCAGGGTACAGCATCTGTGGCCATCAACGTCATGGACAGGAATGACAACGACCCCAAGTTCATGCTGAGTGGCTACAACTTCTCAGTGATGGAGAACATGCCACCCCTCAGCCCTGTGGGCATGGTGACGGTCATTGATGCTGACAAAGGAGAAAATGCCCGGATCCAGCTGTCGGTGGAGCAAGACAACGGGGATTTTGTCATACAAAATGGCACTGGCACCATCCTCTCCAGCATCTCTTTTGACCGGGAACAGCAGAGCACCTACACCTTCCGACTCAAGGCGGTGGATGGTGGGGATCCCCCCAGGTCTGCCTATGTGGGGGTGACTATCAATGTCTTGGATGAGAATGACAATGCCCCCTTCATCACTTCCCCCTCCAACGCCACCTACAAGCACATCCTGCCCCACACCAGTCCCGGCCAGCAGGTGAGCAAGGTCAAGGCAGAGGACATCGACTCGGGCATCAATGCTGAGCTGATCTACAGCATCACAGGAGGAAACCCCTTCGAGCTCTTCCAGATCTCCCCGCAGAGCGGAGACATCACTCTGGAGAAGGAGATCCTGCGCAAGCACCACGGCCTGCACCGCCTGGTCGTGCGCGTCAATGACAAGGGCAAGCCCTCGCGGCATGGCACGGCTCTGGTGCACTTCTATGTCAACGAGACACTGGCCAACCGCACGCTGCTGGACACGCTGGTGGGGCACAGCCTGGACACCCCGCTGGACATTGACATCGCCGGCGACCCTGAGTACGAGCGCAGCAAGCAGCGGAGCAACATCCTCTTCGGGGTCATCGCCGGCATCGTGGCTGTCACCCTGGTCATCGTGCTGGTGGTCCTGGTGCGTTACTGCCGGCAGCGCGAGGCCAAGAGCGGCTACCAGGCAGGCAAGAAGGAGACCAAGGACCTGTATGCACCCAAGCAAGCCAGCAAGAGCGGGAAGAGCAAGAACAAGGTGAAGAAGAGCAAGTCTCCCAAGCCACCCAAGCCCACAGAGGATGAGGAGGAGACGGGGCTGCAGAAATCACTCAAGTTCAACCTCATGAATGACTCTGTCAGTGACAGCCCCCGGATCCACCTGCCCCTGAACTACCCTCCGGGCAGCCCGGACCTGGGCCGCCACTACCGCTCCAACTCGCCGCTGCCCTCCATCCAGCTGCAGCCTCAGTCACCCTCTGCCTCCAAGAAGCACCAAGTGGTGCAGGACCTGCCGGCCACCAACACCTTTGTTGGCACTGGGGACAACAACTCGACGGGCTCCGAGCAGTACTCGGACTACAGCTACCGCACCAACCCCCAGAAATACACCAACAAGCAGGTAGGAGAGCTCATCCTGAGGCCGGCAGCGGCGCCCCCGCTGCACCGGGGAGCCATCTGGACAGAGGTGTGGGAGTGAGCATGGACTGGCCCCCAGCCCTGCATGTGTGGCCCAGGGTCTGGTGTTGGACTACCCTGGAGCCGAGCCTCAGAGCCTGGGCGTGGTGCAGGGAGGGGATGGGGATGGTGTGGGGAAGGCCAAAAACTGTCCGAGTCCTTATCAGAGCACCCGGGGCTGGGTCCTGGTGGCGCTGCCTGGGTGATGGTGATGCGAAGGGCACTGCATGCGTGTGGCTCTGCATGTGGGGCTCCGGGCAGGGAATGTCACCCACCTGCGTCCCCTTTGGGGACCACTCTAAGAGCACCAAGGAGGGCGATGCCCACCCTCCCACCACTCCCTCTGCTTGGGCTGGCTCATGGGGAGGAGGGACTGGTCCTGCTCCTGCCACAGCTGGGTTCCAGCCCTGCCCTGCTCCAGAGAGCAGTTGGAAGGCTCTGGCTTCACTGTTGCCAGCCTGGCTCTGCTGGTGCAGCAGAGCATGCCGCCATCCCTGCGCCAGGGTGCCTCAAAGGGAGCTCTGCACCCACTGCGGCTGCCCGGGCAGGTGGGGCTGGGTGGAGGAGCAAAGCTCTGCCTTTTTCTCAGGCTCAGGCTCCCGCTTCCCCCAGGCTCGGGCCCTCTGCCACAGCCAGCGCAGTGAAATCTGGGCTTCCCATAGCATGAGCACTGGGCCTGGAGCTGTGGCTCTGCAGGAGATGGTCCGCAGATCCTGGTGGCACAGGAATGGCCTGTCCATGTGGCAGGGCTGGTGCTGTGCTGGGGGCTGGGGGAGAGGGGCACTGAGGTCTCTGCTGCGGTCGGGTCACTGCTCTTGGTGTTGCCGGGAGGTTTTCTGCGTGTGGGGCAGGGTGGAGGCAGGTCTTGGCTGCTCGCTGGTGTGCACTGGAGCTTAGAGCTGAGCCACGAGGTCATGGGCCGAGTGTGGAGCTTGCAGGACCCTCTTTCTTGGGCTGTCTGGCCACTTAGGAGCTTGCACCACATTTCTGCTTTGGCACATCTGTCCTTAACCAGCCAGGGAGGGAGAGGGGGTGCGAGTGCCTGTGGCTTTGTCTTCTTCCTGGGGCCCCATGGGTGAGGACCACCCACTCCCCCCGTGCTGTACCCCCTGTGCCCCATGAGACCCCTGCCCCCTTCTTTGTACCCCAGTGAGCGGCAGGCTGGGCTCCTGCCGTGGGGCTGAGCTCAGCTTCCCTGTTGGATTTGACTTCAATAAAGTTTTCTATTTTTGACCGGTTGTGCCTTATTGTCCCTGCTGCCCCTGAGAAGGCTCTCCCAGCAATTTCCCAGGCATATTTTCCATGTCCTTGGCTACTGGAGCACTCAGACCCTGTGGAGGCCAGAAGTGATGCTCACATGAGCTGGCCATCTCCACAAACCCTCCACCACATCCCAGTGTGGTCAGCCCAGAGGCCTCCTGGTGCTGACCCTTCATCCCCAGGTTGACATATCCCATGTCTAGTCACTACCTGGCCCTCTGAAGATGTCCCTCCAGGACAGGGTTCCCAACAGCTGCACACACACACAGACACACACACACACACACACAGACACACACACACACACCTTTGTGGATGCGGTCGCAGTCTGAGCCACAGCCCAGCCCACCCAGCTTTCATTTCATTTCACACCAACGTCCTCCCTCAGAGCTTCTTCTGGTTGATCCCCACATCCTCTTGAGCCACACCCACGTCCCACAGCCAGAGCGTGGCGGAGCAGATCCCTGTGCCTGGCTAGCCTGACCCAAATCCCGCTGGCGCGGGCTGGCAGCAGCCAGCTCCCGCCCGCCGCAGTGCTGCAATGAGGGCGCACGCGGTTGCAGATGGAGCCTTGGCGTGTCAGCAGAGCCCAGATCCCAACACTCCCCCACCCTGGGAGGTGATGGGAAGGAGAGATCCTCTCAGGAAGGCTTGCTGGAGCCAGGTGGTCCTGCTTCCCACGCAGATGGATCCGCCCTGTATGGGAGCTCCTGGTGGGATGGATGGGGATGATGCCAATGCCATGGGGCTCACTCAGGGTCTTGTCTCCAGCTGTTTGGAGAAAAGATGGACCCTGGTAGGCAGGAACAGTCCCAACACCCCTCTCCCACCATCCCACTATCCCATCTCAGGGCCCCCCTCCCTGGCCACCTGTTCCTGTTTCTCCTGGTTTTTCTTCCAAACTGGGGCACCCATCCCTGCTCCTGTCACACCAGTTCACCTCTTCCTCAGGGCCTCCAGTGGCCTCACCAGGCTGCTGGGGCTGAGGAGCTCTGGCGCTGGGAGAGATTAGATCAGCCGGGGAAACCAGTGGTTCTGGCTTCGGTGGTTTGAACCCTGTGCCAGCCTTGGCTCTCACAGCCTCCTCGTTTGTTTTGCTAACAGCATAAGGTTTTATCTTGAACCATCCAGGAAGTGTCTGGGCCTCCTGGGCAAGCAGGGCTGGGACCCGCAGGGAGATGCGATGGCTGCAGAGGAGGAAAGGAGACACCAGCAACCACCTCAATAACTGCTCCCCGCAGGGCTGGGCCGGGCAGTCTGGGGGCTTGGCTCAGCCCTGCTATCTGCTTCCCTTTGGGAACTTTCTGAGAGAAGTTTCCCTTCCTTCCTCGTCCTCAGTAGCTCTTTGATGAACCTGGGGTGAGAACTCAGGCGCTGGCATGGGGAGCGGCTCTTTCTTCTGCCTGGCTCCCAGGCTCCATCCCTTTTTTACTGGGAGGGGATATTCTACATCCTTTCCCAAAAGCTGCCCCGGGTCCTTACAGCCCCCCACCACCCGGGAAGGCAGCTGGAGTGGTGTGAACTTGGGTGAGCTCAGCAGAGGTTCCTGCACCTGCCCGCGGGCTCGCAGCACGGTGCAGCATTAATTACTCTCTGCGGGAGGGGAGAGGAATATTGTAGCTGTAATGGACAGAAATGAAATTGTCTTGTTTGAGAATTTAGCTCAGAGTCTCCCATAAATTGCAGGTTTAGGTGCTGGCAGATGTCTGGGAAAGTCTCCCACTGTCCTGTGTCAGTGGGTTTTCTCAAGGTCGTTCACGTGGAATGAGCTGATAAATGGATCCAGCAAGGAGCTGCAGATGGAGCTGAGGGTTCATGGGGGACCTGCCCTGCTTTCCCCCAGTTTCAGAGAGAAGCTGTGCTGGGACCAGTTCCTCCACACTGTGAATCAGCTCCTGCTGCTGGGATCAGCTGGGCTTTGGTCAGATTTGGCTCTGCTGGGCTGAGATCGAATGGGGGAAGTGTCGTGTAAGGGCTGCAGATCCCTGGATCTGCTGGGAAGAGTGGCTGTGTCAAAGCACAGCAGCTTGTGAGCATCACGGGGGAGCTTGGGGAGCACAGGACAGGGTGGGGAGTGGGCAGTGCACTGTGCTGGAGCATTGGTGAGGATGCTGAGGCCACCACGGGTGAGGCAGGAAGGTGCGGTGACTCCTGGTGCATCTGTGCTGGGGTCTTGGGTTGATGAGCGACAGCACAGAGGGGTATTTGGGACCTCAGAATGAGGAGCTTCAGCCATGGGAAAAGAGCAACCCCTGGTACAGGCTGGATGTTCAGCCAGCCGCAGCGTGGGTGTGCGCAGGCAGTGCTGCGGGGGTAGGTGACAGCGGGGTGTACAGAGCCCATGCCCCTGCACGTGGGAGGTGACAGCGGGGTGCTCACTGCCAGCACCCTGTGGAGGTGGCACAGAGGGGAGTGTGGTATCGATGACGAGGGGGGCAGGGACACACGCACAGGCTGGATAGGGGATGCAGGGCATGCAGCCGGAGTCTCCCCTGGGGGGAAGGTGGCACAGGGCAGTGTGCAAGCCCTGTCCCCAAGGAGGTGGCAGTGGGGATTGTGCAGCCTGGACTGCCGTAGGAGGTGGCACAGGGGGTGCACAGGCTGTGCTGTGTGGAGGGCGGCAGTGGGATGGACACAGTGACAGCAGGTGACAGCAGGGTGGGCAGCCTTGGCCAGGTGACAACTCTGACAGGTAGGCAGTGTCTGCAAGGAGACAGTGGCACTTGCTGTCCCTAACAGATTAGGGAGGTCATCAGGTTTCTCCTGCATGGCAGTCCCTGGCCCTACCAGCGCTGGGGACCTCATCCTTTCTCCCTTTAAGACTCACCCAGCCTGTGCTCCTTGCCTGGGGCTCCTCACATGGGGCTGGATGACAGCACTGCCCTGTTCCCGTCTTGCCATTCCTCCCTGCTTCTCATTCCTCCCTGCCCTCCTCTTCCTCTCCCTTCTCACAGTCTCAGCCTCTCCCCTGCCTGATGCCCTTGGAGCCAGCATTGGCCTTTCCTAGCTTGGATCTGGGGAACTCCTCCTTTTTCCCCCCGAAATCTTCCCGCTTCTTTCACAACTGTGTCTTCTCCTCTCCACCCTCTCTCCTGATCTCTCCCTTCTCCCTGGCTTTCCCCAGTCTCTCCTGACCATGCTGGCCCCAGTACAGAGGGATGCTGAGCCCTCCCAGTGCAGGGCTGAGCCCCTGGCTGGCTCTGCCGGCCGAGCTGTGGATCCTGGGGGATGAAAGCCCTGGCTGTGTGTGCAGCCGCCCGCTCCAAGCCTCCCTGATTGATATTCCCAGCACTGCTCTGCCCGCTCGGCTGGGCTCTCAGCTGCAGTGCTGTTCCCTGGAGCAGGGCCCAGCCCTGCAGGCTGCTTCACCCGACACCCAAATCCTGGGGCAGAACCCAGGGCTGTGACAGGGTGTGTCCCTGTGGTCCCTGTGTGTCCCTGTGATCCCTATGTGTCCCCAGGCACTCAGTGGTCCCTCAGCCCACAGAGCACCCAGAGGTGTGGATGGGATGAAGCACAGAGAGTGGGATGCAGCAGGAGGAGATGGAGGGTGGGGTGTTCCCAGGTGAGGACAGAGCTGGGATGTTCTGGGATGTTCTGGGATGGGATGGAAGGAGGTTGGAGTAATGAGAGGGTGCAGGATGTAGGACAGGCTAGGGAGGTTGTTGTGGAGGGAACAAGGGT